TGTACCCCAGCTCTGTATGAATAAATAACTACATCTTTAAAAAAAGAAAAAAGGAAAATAATTTAAGACCAATAGGAAACGCCTAAAAAATTCTGCATACTTCACCCCAGTACCCCAAAGACCGATACCTCCCCCTTTGGCTTTGCTCTCTCTCTTCCTCTCTCATGTTTTTCTGCAAGTTAGACACAGCTCTTCTTTACGTCAATAGATCCCCCAAATCAAGACCATTCTCTTAAAACTATTAAAATTCAAAAGTCAGTTTAGTTTCCAAAGTCAGTCTTAAATTTTTGACCAAGTGCTCTCACCCAACAATGAGCGACTCCTTAACAACATAATATAAAGCAAAATATTCTCCTGGGAGCTGTGGGGACACAGCCAGCTGCCTGGAGCCCCACTTCAGGGCTGAGGAAGGTGATCCCCATAACTAATGGTGTCCTCCTGGTTCCCTTGGGCCAAGGGGTCCAGCAGTCCCATGATGCTCTGGGAGAGGTTTCCAGGCCTCAGGCTGCTTGCTGCAGAAAGAACACAGGTGCAGGTGCACCTGCTGGAATCTTGTCCGGGGCGGGGGAGGGAGAAGGGCAGGGAAGCCTTGTGATGTTTCCCAGCTCTCCATCCTCCTGGGGTCTCTCCACCCTTCTGGGGTCTCTCCACATTGAACCACTGCTGTTTTCTGTCCCCGTCGTGGCCCCCAGGCCCTGACCTTCCTCAGCCTGTCGCCAGGCGCCGGCACACTGGGGTACCTACAGAGCTGTGGCCTTTCAGATCTGGGGGTTTCGGCTCTGGAGGGGCAGAGAGGACACGCAGTCAAGAATCAAGCAGATGTCTCCATCCCAGCTCCAGTTTTTAGTGGTTTTATGACTTGGAGTATTAGCTAAGCTTTCTAAGCTCCTGTTTGCCCATTTGAAAACCGGGGATATTTTGAAGGAGCAAATGCGTGTGTCTAAGACCAAGTGACTGTAGGGTGTTACTGTCAGTATGGCCGAAGAGCATTTGAGGTACTGATTTCTGATGTCTAAAAAAAGTCCTCTCGGGGCCCTCCCTGGTGGTGCAGCGGGTTAAAGCACTGCACTAAGAAGTTCAAGCCACTTCTGCAAGAGTTCGATTCCCGCCTGCCCTGGAGGAGCTCCACATGGCGTGGCAGACCTCTCCTGACCCGCCCGCTGCTCCCCTCAGCAGTGTACTTCATGGTTCTGCCTGTTCTGCTCCCCACTCTGTGTCTGGTGAATCCTCTCACCCTCCGCATCTCTGGCTTGTACCCCAGTTCTGTATGAATAAATAAATAAATCTTTAAAAAAAAAAAAGTCCTCTCGCTTTCTCCTTTCTCTCCCTCAGGAGAGCAATGCCCAGCCTGCCTTTCTTTGGTGTGGGCCTGAGCTCCCAAGCAGCCAGGGCTCACGGCTCTCTCTGAACGGGCAGGTCAGGGGCAGAGGTGAGCGGCAGGATTTCCAGGTCAGGATGTGGCTGTCTGAACATGCACAGCGTGCCGGCCCGTGGGGCAGTGTGTATGCCACAGAGCAGGAGCCTTCATGACCGGCACGTCCGGTCACCGCCCTGAGCCTCATGCTGCGTCTGCAGGACATAACAAAGGACAGAGAATGTGGGGCTGCTCGGAGGAGACAGGGACCCAGCTCCCGCTTCCTGGTGGTCCAGGGAGGTGGCAGGACCGGAGGGGAGGGGCTCTGGGACCTGTCTGGAGCAAATGACCAAGGCAGCCTCCAGGGGGCTGGGTGGGCCCAGGTGAGGCGCAGGGGTCCCAAAAGGGACAAGGAAGGACCACTGGGCAGCTTCAGGAGGACGTCTGTGGGACTGCAAAGTGACCAAGAAGGAGAGGTGAGACTCAAGGCGGCCATTCCAACTGATTTCTAGAACTGGAAAGGAACCGAGCCTGTCTACACCCATGGCTCTGGCTGTGGGAATCCCTCTGTGAATCCCTCTGTGAGGGAACATGGCTGGGGGACATGTGACACTCAGGGCCACCACCCCCTCTCAGCGCCACTGTCTGGCCGCTCCTTTCTACTCAGGAGGGGAAACTGAATCCCAAGACACATAGAGACCGACACAGGGTCACCCCAGGGTTCAAGGCCAGGACGTGCTTTCCAGAAGCTTGTTTCCAGGGCAGCAGGAGTGTCTGTCTCTTTGGGTTTCGTCCCACAGGGCTCCTACCTGTGAGGTCCAGACTGTCCGCCTCCTGGCCAAGGGCTCAGTAGAGGCGAGGGGACGTCACCTCCATACCTGGGTCCTGTGTGAGCACCTAGCAGATGCTCAGAAATTGAATTCATTTGACTTCACTGCTGCTCAGTGAGAGTGGAGAAGGTGAGTTTGAGTATCCAGGAGAGGGCTTCTCCGGCCGGATTTGTTTCGGCCACCTTTGTCCCCATGGAATTTAAGGGGGAGCTATTCCCACCTGGCACGGGGTAGCAGGTGATGAAATCTTATCGTGGCTTTTCTAAAAGCTTTTTGTAAGTTCTTGGCTGGCCTTGCTGGATAAGCAGCCCCAGCGCCCCACAATCTGGGCCGGGCTCCTGATAGCATGCGTCTGTAGGTGGCAGAATGATCCTAATCTTGTGAATAAACACAGGTAACTAGTGCCGGGGGCTCTGGTTCTTGGCTCCGAGGGTCACCTTCCGGAGGGAGAGGTGGCTGGCTTCCGGGGCTCATTGTCTGCGAGTGTTTGCCGCAGAGCAGGCTGGGTCAGAGTGGAACAGTGCTGCTCTCGGAAGCTGCTGGCCCAGACGCTGTGGAAGCCCCACTGCCCGCCTGGCCGAGTGTCCCAAGGGGCGTCCAGGGGATGGGGAGAGGGACCCAAAGGCCCTGTAGACCTGACACAGTAGAGGTGACGTCCTCACTGCGTGCCGGGCCGTGTGGGGCAATGCGTATGGTCTGTGGTCATGCTCACAGACCAGGAGCCTCCTGACACGAGGGGCTTCATTACTGGCACGTCCGGTAACCCTGTGAGCCTCCATGTCCTCACCAGAGGACATCACAGAGGAGAGTGGGAGGACCGCCCGCTCGTTCATTTGCTTAGCCAAGCGCTCATTGACTGAGGAAACGCCAGCCTGCATAAGGCCATCGGACAGGACATGGGCCCTGGCTGGACGGGGGATGTCCTCCGGACAGGAAACAGGAAACCAGCTGTCTGGTTCAGACTTTTCTTTCTGCTGCCCTGGTTTTGGGGGAAGGGGAGGAAGTGTCACAATGCCAAGTAGGTTCCAGGGCCATGAGGAGCTCAGTGTCCTATCTCTCCCAGGAAGGCCGCGTAGAGGAGGCCGTGGCCACGGCAGGGGGCAGCTGGCTGTCTTCCTAACGCCTCCCGTCAAGTTCTGAGCTCCCCTGAGTTTGGGCCTCCCGAGGGCCTTACAAATCAGATACAAGAATCCGCGAGGCTCGGCGATGCCCCAACCGGAGCCCACCGCCCGCAGCCAGCCCCTCTGTCCCAGGCCCACGTCTTCCTCTCCCACTCCCACCAGGCCTCCCTGGCCACACGGCTGTCAGTCCTGCCTGGTATCTGGTATCGGAGGCCGGCCCCACGAGACAGGTTTCTGGAGGTGGCCCCACCTGTGTTTGCTCAAGAAATCCCTTCTGAAAGGGAAACCAGATCAGACAGGCCTGTGTGACATATCCCGGCCTGAGGATCTGGCACGTGGGCTCCCAGCTTTGAAGTCTGGGAATGGCGGTGTTTGTGTCCTTATCAGCATGGCTGCTAGATAGTCTGGGTGTTACCTCGATGTGTTGGTGCAGCGGCTACAGTTAGGGGTTATCTCTGAGCCAGGCTTCCTGCTGGAGGGAAACCCACACACTCTATAAAGCCTGTGGGGGTGGCCACTGGGTAACTTGTGGCCGATGGGGTCCAGGATGAGGTGTCTGGTGGTTCTCCTTGCATTCCTCGCCCTGTCCCAAGGTGCTGGGGTCACCAGGTGAGTGTGGGGCTCCAGGGGAGGGAGTTGCATCACCTGTGTCCTCACTGGCTAGATCTCTCCCTGGTCTTACAGGCCTGGCTTCTCCAGAGGCTTGGGGCTGGGGGTCTTCAGAGGAGCTGGGCGACTTCCCGGGATCATTGCCCACCTCGTTGCTGCACGTGGAGACTTCTCCAGTGCACCCGACTTTCAGGGTGCAGAGAACATCAAAGGGCATCAGATGGGTGTCCTGGGAGGTTATGGACATGATTTCTGGGGTGAAACTGCAATTTGATCCCCAGCTCCCCAGAGTTTGCTCAATACACAATTGCGAGAGCAGATACCCCTCTCATAGGCTGCCGTGAGGAGCGTGTGAGTCAATACCTGTGAAGTGCTTTGCACAGTGCCTGGCACATTGTAAGAGCTACGAGTGCATCTGCTCAACAAAACTCTATCCCGAGTCCTGTGGGTAAAATTCTCAGGTTCTTTTCCCCAAATAAAAACTGGTATTGTTGAGCTGCTTGTTACTCGGTGCCAGACATTTAAACAGGTCTTCAGCTCTAGGGTCAGCATTAGGTGATCTGCATGAGGAGACAGCTCTTCAGGGAGGCTCCTGGGGCTGCCCGAGGGCACGTGGTCATAACGGAGGATCTGGAGCTTGGTCCTGGGGGCTTGCAGTCTACCCTCATCACAACACCTCCGGGGTCGGGGTCCAGGCCTGTCAAGCCTGAGCACAGGGAAACCTGAGTCCATGCCTGGGAAGTTGGAGCTCTGAAAAAGGGGTCTGGGTGCCCTTGACCAAGCCAGAGAAAGGCTCCTGGCAGCCTTGCAGCCGGAGGCAGAGGTGGGACCAGAGGGGAGGTTTCCGTGTGGCTGCAGTCCCCCTGTGGGGCTGCTCCCCAAGTCCTGAGTGCAGACGGTGCAGTGCTCACGCTGCTTCCTGCTGGCTCTCCTGGAGGGGAGCGCTCTGGCCCTGCACTAGGACAGCTCAGCAGCTCCCACGTGAGTCCCTGGCTTTCGGCAAGGAGATCCTGAGCTGGAGCAGCGCTGGGGGCCTGGCCCGGGCTGCAGGAGAGGGCAGCTCTGAGTGTGTCCCAGAGCGCCGTCCGGCCTTACTCCCTAGGGGCTTCAATCCTTGCCCATCCTCAGCGACACAGGCTGAGAAACGTGCCAAGTCCTTTCATGTATGAGTCAGGTCCCAGCTGAAGTCAAGAAGGAGGACGGGGGTGGGAGGTACCCGAGCGCCACAGGTCACGCACGAGGCCGTTCCCGTGGGATCCCCTCAGGATGTGCACAGTGCACAAACACCCATTTTCTTTTGGGGTCATAAAACTGCTGTCATCTGATTACTCTCAAAGTCCTGTCACTTGTGCTGTGTCAGCCCTGCAGAGCAGACTGTATGCTTCCTGGAGCTGGAGGGATGCTGGGCACCACCCAGCCTCATTCCTTCTGTGCACAGAGCAGCCAGTTGACAGCCAGAGGGATGAGGCTGCTCGGTGGGTCAGGGCAGGGCGGGGTGTGCAGCCCTAGATGGTGCTCAGCACAAGCAGGCACACAGCAAGGTCTGAAGCCCGAATGCTGATGTGATGAGCGTCCCGTCCCATCAACCTCAGCGTTGCAAAACTCATTAGCAAGTCCTGAAATGCATGCATGGAGCACCGCCGGCATTAAGCAAAGAGGCGTGAGAAACAGCAGCAGCATGTGCTGCATTTAGTAAGGGTGGGCATTGATTTGTGAATTGATGGGAAGTGTTTTTACTCGGGGTTATGATTTTTTTAAAAAAGCGAGGGTGTGGTCGATAGCGCCCAGAGCCCTCGGCCCTTCTCAGAGGCGGAGAAGTCCTGGGGAGGGGCCCACCATTCCTTCTCCCCCACCCCCCAGGATCCCTCTGCACAAGGGGAAGTCACTGAGAAAGAGCCTGAAGGAGCGTGGGCTTCTGGAGGACTTTCTGAGGACGCACCAGACGGCCTTCAGCAGGAAGTACTGCCATCACGGGGAGGTGGCCAGCGAGCCCCTGATCAATTACCTGGATGTGAGTGGCTCTGCCCGGCTGCCATTGCTGATGCCAGGCAGAGCGTGATGCTTGCGCTTGCCGGCCCCGTGGTGAGCTCTTCTGAATGTCACCTCTGCGAGGTCTCGCCTACGTGACCTGCCTGCCAGATCCCACAGGGGATGTGACCTGCTCCTCCAGCCAACGTGACCCTTGCCTTTCCCGGCCCGGGGAGCCATGCCAGGCATGGGCCGTTGGTGCCAGGACGTGGCAGGAATGCCCTGTGCCCTCTGCCTTCCAGGAGCCTGGCTCCCTCTCAGCTGTCACTCTTGGCAGTCAACAGCAGGCTTGCTGTCTCCTCCGCGCTCTCCTTCCCCTAGCTAGGCCGCCCGACCCCGTGGGAACTGGCAGGGCAGTGTGGCAGGGGCATCTTGGGGAGGGCGGGGGTCCCTGGCGGTGGTAGTCCAGGACTCACCTTTGGGTCTAATGTCAGCATGTGGGGCTGTGTCCAGGGCTTGCGGGAGGGACAGCAGACGAAGCTGGGTGTGGCAGAGAGAGCCTGGGGGCTGAAGAGGAAGAACCTTCGCCATCTGCCTCCTCCACCTCCCTGACTCTGGGCAGAAGGCAGGAGCCTCCTGAAAGGGAGCAGGCTCCATGCCACACAACACCCGCACCAGGCTGTCCCCCACCCTGACCGTGCTGTCTGTCATCTGTCCTCAGAGTCAATACTTTGGGAAGCTCCACATCGGGACCCCGCCCCAGGAGTTCACCGTGGTGTTTGACACCGGTTCCTCTGACTTCTGGGTGCCCTCCATCTTCTGCCAGAGTGATGCCTGCCGTGAGTGGTCCCCTCCCCGCTCAGACCCCAAGGCCACTCTGCAACAGCAGTCAGGGGGCCAGCGTGGAGGGGCGGGGGTGACCGGCAGTCCGCTTGGACAGTCCCAGCCTCCCCGGTGTGTCCGACCCTTGCAGCTGGCCAGACGGTGCAGACCACAGGCGTCCTGAAGGCCCCTCCTAAGGGCCAGGGGCAAGGGCCTACCTTGCTGGCGCCTCAGTTTTCCTTTTTGTAAAACGAGGCAAGGCGTGTGTATGTGTGTGGGAGGGGAAGGCTGGAGAATGAAGTCAAAGCATCTGTTGATCATGATGCTTGAGCATTTGACATGTGAAAATCCTTTTTTTATGTCATAATTCTGGGAGGTAGATGCTGCTTTTTTTTTTTTTTCAATCCCCTTTTATCAGATAAGGAAACCAAATTCAGGGCGAGAGACACTTGCCTGGAATTACTCAGCTGGTAGAGTTAGTTGTCCCTCCCTCCCTCTTTCCCTGCACAGGTAGGTAGCACTGGGAGTCCCAGAGCCGGGTGAAACAGCTAAACGCTATTTGCTCTGTTAAGTTCTGTGCATCGAGAGAGAGAACAGGTTGCATATTGTCAGGAGAGAGGGTGGTCATTGCTCAGACCTGGTTCTCCCGGGGACGGGGGAGTTCAGCCTTGGTCGACGTGGGCAGGACACAAGAGCATCCCGCGGGACCCACTCACCCTGGTCTGTGTTCCAGGAAACCACCGCCGCTTTGACCCGTCCAAGTCCTCCACCTTCCAGAACATGGGCAAGCCCCTGGCCATCCAGTACAGCGTGGGCAGCATGCAGGGCGTCCTGGGTTATGATACCGTCACTGTGAGTGGGGCTCGGGCCTCCCGCATACCCCCCGCGGCTGCTCCCCCCGACCTCCACTCTTCAGCCAGCACTCACCAGCCTCTGGGTCTGTCCACGGTGGCCCGGGCGGGTTCAGGTTCTGAGGCCGAGGCAGCAGCAGCCAGCCATGGCGTCCTGGCCTCCCTCCTTCTCCTCCTTGCCCAGGTCGCCGCTCAGAGCTCGCAGAGAAGCTCCGCCGCGTCCAGGCTTCCCCTTTCCCATTTCTCTTCTCGTCCGTCTTGGCTGAGTTAGCTCAGGGTCCCGGGCCAGGCCTGGGCCCCTCAGGGTCACAGGTGGGGCCAGTTCAGATCCAGCTCTTACATTAGTTCGCTCTGCTGGACCAGAAGCCCCAGGGCCCAGGTGAGCCTCCGACTGACTGCCGCATGTGGGGGCCGCTGCGGCACCCACATCTCGGTCCCGAGCCGCTCGCGGGCTGAGCTCACGTGACTTCGCCTTT